GTCTTTTTCAGGTGTGTACTGAAATTTTAGGAGTTTCTGTAGAAGTATGGCCTGCAGTTCCACTGATTTCCATATGAGCCAGGTAATGAGTTTCACCTGTTCAGAAAATCATCAGGACTTCTACGATACTGCGGGTTTTTTTTTTCTCTAAATGAGTAAAAACAAACCGCATTATAAATTCAGTTCTACAGTTCTGCATCTCACTCCTTCCAGACACTATCTATTGGATAGATACAGCAATAATATTTCAAAGTCACATTTTAATAAGTAAAGAGTGTACATCTTCAGGCAAAAGAGCACAGCTATTAGCCTAAACACGGCCCATTGTGACTCTCATGATAAATTGCACATGGAAATTGAAAGCAAAGTCAACAATGTATGAAAGTAAACATATATATTCAATTTTCTATGCATATTTTGCCTCGGTTTGTTGATTCTTTCCTCTGTGTTGTATAAAATTAAAATAATGAAATGCTGCATACAGTATAAGGTTATAGCATACAATAGTAAATTGCATCTTGCAGAATATTGAGCATATTCTTCATGTTGTTGACATCATAAAGCAGTTAATGGGTGCTTAAAAAAGTTCTGCTGCAAATAAAGAGCAAAACAACTAAAAATTCATAGCTACTTCAAATCTAGGTACAGTGCATCTTCAAAGTCAAACCTATAAAGCCCATTTAGATATTTTACTCAAATTATTACTATTATATTACTAGATGTCAAGCTGATTCAAAAGATTTATTAAAATACTAATCAGCTTTTGTTTTTTAATTCTCATTTTGACATGATAATTTATCTAAAATAATTTCTAGTATGATGTTGGATGCTGTTTTTCAACAATAACTGTAACTGTTCTTCTGCAGGGTTTTATTTAGAAAAACTGTAAATAGATACCATGTTTAAGAGTGGGTTGTGTCTTCTGGGAAACAGCTGGATAAGAACCTCAGGTCAATTAGCTGCTAGCAACCAAATGAGCCAGACGGGCCAAATGGCTTCCTCTTGTTCGTAACCTTTCTGATGTACTTGTGGCCTAACTGAACACACTGCGCAGCAGATTAGCCTAATGAGATTTGCAATGACAGCAGGGAGAATATGAAGCACAAACACTGCTAGAGGCTGATTTCTGGTAATGTTTCTACACCACGATGCAACAATCTACGACTTTGCTCTGCTGAAGATCGTAATTCATTTGTCTTATTGCCATTTTCTTTCATTCTTTCATCTTTCATTTCTAACGCATGGGGGTTATTCATTTTCAGTCTTCGCGCAGTTTGAAGAAAATTAGATATAAGCCCGCACTTGAAGCACTGAACATCTGTTGTTATTACTTCAATTTAGGATAAAACAAAATACAAAAACCGAGCCAGAGCCGCATGCTAATATCTTTGCTATACACGTCATGCTCATTTGTATTTAGATTGTTCTGGTCAACTCAATACCAACCAAATTATAGAACGATCTCATGGTGTTTCATTAGAACACTGGTCTCATTCAGGATTGGATTAATGTTGTGCTGTGATAGAAACGAAAAATCACTTAGAAAAGAAATAGAAAAGAAAATAAAACACTTTAGTAAATTACAGCGACTTTGGAATTGCTCAATACATTTAACAAACTGAAAAGGCCCAGTTCAAAGAAAGAAAAGATTTGATCACAAGGAACCACTGCAGCTATCCCCAAGGGAATCCAGCAAAACACTTCTAATACAGAACAACACTATCAATCGGATCAGCTCTAATGATACGAGCAATATCCATATATCCTCAAGCTGCAGGGACACAAGCAACAATAGCGTCAAAATCTGAAGAGATCCCGGACTCAAAGTAGCTTTATGTTCTTGTCACAGTCCCAAAATTCAAATCTTTCAATTGTATTTGTGTTTTTAAATATTGATCATTCATGCAATTTGCTGTTAACAACTGGAATCAGCAGAGTGAAATTAAATTAAAAGAACATAATTAGTAAAAAAAACACCCCGTAACTTGGTAGTGGGCTCCTGCAGATGTTAGTGTTTCGCGCTTGGCTCAGAGACGGCAGCAGTTGAGAGGGTCCCAAAGGGAAGGTACTTTTCTCGTAAGGAGCGCCTGCCAGAGACTATGTCCACCTCCACAGATGCTTCGCAAATGTGGTTGTCATGGCGACGCCCGGGCTCTTAGCAAGTGCCTTCATGAAGGTCAGGCTTCTGAAGATTTGGTACAAACATGAAATTGCTGTCCTGGCGCCAGAGATTCAGTGCTTAGGGTGGGATATGCCTATTACCGACTATCACCTTACAGAGAGGGAGTGCACTTTGTTGCCTGAAGGTTATCAACTGTGCATGTTGTTGGGTTAAACCTCTCATAGTGCTCTTCCTGAATTTTGATGTATTTACTGTGGAGTTTTATTTTATTGAAACCTTAACACTGCAAGTCTCATATATTTTTGAGAAAAACATTACTTAAAAACATTAACATTAAGAAAAATCAGGTCTAAGGTTCCACTTCATTTATGATGAATGGGCCTACTCTTGGATAGGCTTCTTATGACCTATTATTTGATACACTCGTTTTCCATTACCTTAAATATATTCCTTTCTAGGTATTTTGCAATTCAATGTAGAAATGTGACCTTTATAGTGATTTTATCTTCATTTAATGGGCTTTGAATTGTATGAAGTATTCCATGCCTGTTAGTTAGTTTTTCAAAAACATCTCCTTAAAGTAATTCAAAAATCTCCTGTCCCCCTTTTCTTCTTTCGCTGTGCAAGAGGAAGCAAAATCGAACAATCTTTTCTTTCTTCACCAAACATTTAGCAGACGCAAAACTCGCTCACTCATTCCTACGTATTCCTGAAACTGAACAATTAATAAAAGCAAACTATACCAAACAACACACGCTACACAAGAACTGTTATATTTTTAAATATAATTGTTATGATCTTGGTTTTTCTTGTTTCAGCAGTTGTCACAGATATGACAGGGTGTTTCTTAAATATCTGCACCAAATGTAAAAATTTGAGAATTAGTCTATGACTGTCAACGTGCTTGTGGTAATATAACATACATTTGTCAAACAGTTAAACTAAGGAACAATCAACACATGTTTTCTGTTTACAATCATTTTCATTTTATATTTGACTTTTTTCACAAATATAGAAATATAAAAAACTTTACTGTATCAATGTTCTTAAAATAGTTATGACACTACCTCTCTGCTTTGCCTGGCAAACATGTATATGGTTATAGACTAGACAGAATAATTTTAACTGCCAGAATCTGACAAAACTAGTGCTAAACTAGTCTGTCTGGGTTCTCTATGAATGTGCCCAATTATAGCAGTCTTTTTTAAAACTTTACACTGCATTAGAATTTGCTTTCCCTTGAAATTGCATTTAAACATATAATGAAAGAGAACAGGGTATCTATTTGCTCACTTCATCCATTTTCTATTTTTTGTGTGAGCAAATGGGAACATCACCCAGGCTTTTACCTCTGTCTGTTCGGAGACGTCACTCAAAGACACCAGAAATGATCATAATGTCAAGCTGACCACCTGGAACTTTCTGTGTTCTACCGCTTGATTTACAGGGCATTTAAATTTTTAAGGAAACTTCACAGAAGAGCAAGAGCAAAAAAAAAAAATCTGGATATGCTCTGCAATTTATCATCTATTTTAAGGATGGTCAGAGCCTCGGTTCAGCTCCGAGATGCCTTGCTCGGCAGGCCCCTGGAGAAACCCCAGTCTAAGGTGCGCAGGAGACCCTGGGGGACACCAGGCCACAGCCAGCCGGATCTCTGACCACCTCTCCCCTCCTGGGAGAAGAGCAAACTGTGTTCATTTATTCCACCTGCCAAAGCGCAAGAGTAATGCACAAGGACAAAAAAATGAACAAGATGAATGTGAGAAACGCACCACAGGCTCCTTGTGCTGGGCATGGAGGCGGACAGTACCCTCATGTGAGGCCCCAACTCGTGCTTGTTGGACTCCAAAAGCCACGCAGGCTTCAGTGTCCCTTCGAGGATTAATTAGGCCCTTGTCTCTGTGAGAAGGGAGCAATTACTGCATTCAAGTCCTGAAAAACTAAAAAAACAACATTTTGTTTCAGTAGTAACAGAGCACAATGAGATATGTTTTAGCGCAGAAATAGGCCTATAAATAAGGCAAAGGAAATGTATTTGTCGTCATACCTTTGGCTTTGACTGTTGCACCATTTTATATTACAGGTTATTTGAAATAGTCTTTTTAAAGCATCTGCCACTCAAAAAATACTTTTCTCCGCATGCATTATATACAGCTGCTGAACTGGTACTAATGGTCGTAATTATAAGCATTATTTTCTGTAGATGATGAGTCTATTTATTAGTTTCTACAGTAGGTCTTTAAATATCTTCCTTAATAAGGAACATTATATCCAGGATTAAGTGCTTGGTGGTAGTGATGTACTGTGCTTTATTTGTAACTTCCTGTTTATGCTTTTGTACCTGATTAACTCAAGTGTGTACAGAGGATTTTAACACATTGTTTTCCTCTTTACAAAACATACAGTATTCACCCATTCCTTTTAATGTTTTCACACATTATTTCATGCTTTCATATTAACATGCATTGTAAGGACTGATTAGCTTGAATATAAATGATCTAACCTTATGCACTGAGCAGGAATTAAAATATGTTTATATTTTCACCAGTTCCTTTCTCCGTACCTTGATACTCAATTCATTCTGAGCTCAAAATATACAAATCCATGTGCTTCAGCCATAAGAAGAGCTATTACACTATTTGCTGGAGGTATTATGTTTCCTTTGGCTTCTTGTACGTGAAGAGAATGCAGTGTCTAGTTTTTAGCCTGGTCCCTGGCAAAGGACTATTGTAGCTGCCACTCCTCTCACTTATGGGGTGGCTCTGTGGCTCAGGATCTGCGCCTGTGGCTGGAAGGTTGCCGGTTCGTATCCCGCAGCCGGCAGAGGAATCCTACTCCATTGGGCCCCTGAGCAAGGCCCTTAACCCCAACTGCTCCAGGGGCGCTGTACAATGGTGGACCCTGTGCTCTGACCCCAAGCTTCTCTCCCTGTCTGTGTGTCTCATGTGTGTCTCATGGAGAGCAAGTTGGGGTATGCAAAAAGACACATTCCTAATACAAGAAATTGTATATTACCAATAAAGTGATCTATGAGATCTAACCGGTAGAGGCTGGAGGAGGAGGCAAATTCAAACCTTTAGAAAGAGCAATTGCTTAAACTTCTGTACCTTTCTCAGTACCTGAATGCTGTTATATTCTAGTTATCCAAGGAGTTACTAATACTTACCTGACAATACGATGATGCATGTATTAGGCAGTAATCAAACTGTCATAGGCATGCTTTGAGTTGGATGTAATATATTGCACAAGGTGACTTTATCTGAGTTATTGCTTTGCTGGACTTTTGGGGGAATTGCGCTTTAGGGAATTATTCATTTTCAATGGCAATGGTGCATCTCACTTTTTCTTTCCTGAGGACATTGTGCTCTGTTTTTCAGTTCTTACTGATTGCAGCCAACAGGGAAAACCCAAACTTTCTTACATTCCATTTCCGCTTCTCTAGGCCATTTTCGATTTTGCCACTAGAACCACCTTGCAGCACATCCATCCACTTTTAGAAAGCTGCTTATTCCTGGAGAGGGTTTCAGCAAACCAGAGCCCATCCCAAAAACATGGGACTCAGTGAAGGAATGCAAGCAAGATTGTGAGTCCTATCCGATGCAGGGCATATACCGACAGAGAAGCACACAGGGATAGGGACAACATAGAGGACTATTTAAATTCTTTGGAGAGTTGGAGTAAATCAGAGCACTAGCAGAAAACCCATGCAAATATGGAGAGATCATGCAACCACCACACAGAAGGTACCCCAGTCAGAATCAAACCCAGGACACAGGAGCTGTGAGGCAACTGTGTTAATTATCATACTACCTCCTCAAATAAGACTTGAAACACTGTTTATATTGGTATTCCAGTATTTAAAGATTCTGCACCTGCCCTCCAATTTGTCTTAAAAAAAATGTTTCAAATAACATTTCTAAACTGCAGTTCTGCAGCATGCGTGGTCAGACAGGAAGTTTAATCGCATCTCCAAGTGCCTGTTCCACATGGCTTTGACCAACATCAAAATACAGCACCCTGCTGACACAGGCGGTCTGTACCCTCTGAACAACGTAGAGGGGAGATGCCATTAGACATAGAGAAAGCCCTTAAAGACCTCCCAGCATTTTTTGCAGATACCTTAGCTTATTTACAGTTTTTGAAAGTTTTTAATAATTTAGAAGAAAGATTGAGAAGTAGTTAATTCTTACAATAGGCCCCTCGTGGGATAACATCTTTTATAACCACTTCTCAAGACCTTTAATTAAAACATCCCCAATTTCTTGAGACCTTGCAGTTTTTCCTCACTAAATTCAGCTTCAGCACTAATTTTTCTTTGGGGAGAGTGTGAGCCAAGTGAGGAGGGGATGTCCAGTATAGACTCATTAAATGAAGCCTTTGTACATGGGAAAACAACAGAAAGAGGGTCTATTTCATTTTCCAAAATATGCAGAGCTGGATTTTAATTTATTAAACAAGCCTTTGGCTGCACCAAATGTACCCCTTACTAAGCCTCCAGATGAGACCTGTGTCTATTAAGAACAGTGAAGTTGTCAAGCTGAATTATACCTGAAAGCGCATGAGGTTAATAAAAGGGAGTATAAATCGTTCTTTTTCATTTAAACATGACATACAGTATTATTAGGAAATGTTACATGTTGAGTTTATTGCATATAATTCACAATGAATATGAAAATAGATGGCATATGCAATTAAAATCTGTAATTTTCTACAGTGTAACAACTGGGTTAAGGAATTAAGGTGGTAAATATACTGTCTTTGAGGTCATATAGATCTTCAGAAATTAATGTCTGCTTCGGAACCTAAGCTCAGCAATTTTGTCTAATTTTTTCCCAGCTCTGGCTCTTTATTACATTAGTTCCCTTCTGTGTCTGAGAGCAAATGCCTTCTCATAGGAAATACTCCATAAGGCTAGGACAGTCCTTGTCCTTGACAAGCACAGTGTTGCTGCAGCTGTGGCATTTTAACTGTCATATTCTTCTTTTGATTACAACGCCTCAGTGTAAATAGACAATTAAACAGACGTCTGATTTTTTCACATAACTCCCCCAAGCCTTCGATATGGCATATAGAGCATGAGGGGATACATAAGTTTGACTGCTGTTTATATTTGCATTTGAGTAACAGCAAAATGCAAACTGCTGCAGGCACAGAGAGTAGATTTTCCTGTGTATTATTATCATTCAAGAACTTTTTCTCCATCTTGTTTTCTGATATTTCTTAAGGTGTTGTTGAATCTCAGTAGCAGTTTTTTGTAGGACATAATTAATTGAAAAACAAATGAAACTATGACAAAGGTTTATGTTTTAAATAACTGACAATATTAACCTACAGTATATTAAACAATATTAAGATAGTCTAGCTCTGTGAAGCATAAAGTAAACCATCTGGAATCATTTTCCTGATATCCAAATTCTGGATGGCACAGTGGCAGGACACTTAGCGTTCAGTGCAGGGGTCCTGCATTCAATTCTGGACCTTGGGTGCTGTCTGTGTGGAGTCTGTATGTTTGCCCCATGTTTGTATGGGTTTCCTCCCACAGTCCAAAGACATACTGGTAGGTTAATTGGCTTCTGGGGAAATTGGCTCAGGTATGAATACTGTATGTACTGTACCTGCCTGTGTTTGTGTACAGTATGTCTGCTCTGCGATGGATGGGCGTCTTTTCCAGAGTACACCCTGCCTTGCACCTGTTGCTTGCTGGGATAGGCTCCAGCTCCATTGTTTTGGGAAAAGCGTTTTGAAATTGGATGGTTATCTAAATCCCATGAACAGGATGGGATTATTATTAAATCCACTGTCTGAATTCTCTAACTGCCTCACACACATTTCTTATATTGAATAGATATAGTGATTCTGGAATGAATCAGCTAGAAAATTTGTCAGAAGATTAAATCCCCTCACTACAATTTTGTGGTTGTTCTTTTGTCTGAAGTAAAAATCAGTATGCTAACTGATGCTGTCAAATCTGATGTCAAATCGTAAAAATAATCTTGATTTTTTGCTGGTACGTTTTTTCATCATTACAGCCATTGACACAGTTCAGACAGAAACATTGACTTTTCTGTCTAACGAAAGAGAACCATCATATTGTTTTTGTTTTGTTTCTGGATGAGTACTTCAAAGACACTCCCAGAAGGAAAAAAAAGTCTCAGAATTTCTACAGATGTATGTCAGTGGAAATATGTGTCAATACCAGAGAATGTCTAATGTTTGTGGGTCCCAAGTTTGATTTAGGACTTGGATACTTTCTGTGTGAAGTCTGCATGTTCACCATGCTATTGGATTTTCTCCCAAACATATGCAACACATGCTAATTAATTAACTGGTGTCACTGAATTGTCTCTGTGTGCTTGTGTGTACATGTGGGTGACCTGTGATGGTCTGGCATGCTGTCCAGTCCCTTGTATTGTCACAGGTTTGTGTTAATGTGGTTCTAAAGCTGGGATCACTTGAGTCAATGCAAACATTTTTGATAATGATTATTATATTATTATGGTATATTATCATTGTAACTCTATATGCTCATGCATAATATTGGGTTTGCTAATTAATTAACTGGTGTCACTGAATTGTCTCTGTGTGCTTGTGTGTACATGTGGGTGACCTGTGATGGTCTGGCATGCTGTCCAGTTCCTTGTATCGTCACAGGTTTGTGTTAATGTGGTTCTAAAGCTGGGGTCACTTGAGTCAATGCAAACATTTGTGATAATGATTATTATATTATTATGGTATATTATCATTGTAACTCTATATGCTCATTCATAATATTGGGTTTTGTCAATATTTTTGTGAGCTATCAATTTGGAATTATATTAATAAGGAATAAAACCTAACATTGTTAGCAAATAAATTAGTAAAATTTAAAAGATAATATTTAAAGAGTTTGGATTGAAAATGAATTAATGCTAAACAGAGAATACAGATTAGGGACGAATAC